TTCTGATACAATATACACATGTTTGAAATATTCAGTTAATAATTAGATCTGTAGCAAGTATCATACAAAATATATTTGTTTAAAACAATATTTATTTGAACAATTCAACTAACTTTAGATGTCTGCTGATTAACTCCAACCTAAAAGGGTATGTAATCTTCGGTGTACTTAAGATAACCGTTCTTTCTTCTGTTTTTTTTTTTTTTTTGTGTAGTTGTTGCTGTTTTCGCACAAAAATTATTTTTATTTTGTTTTTGTTTTTGCCTTGGTCGTTTGTTTTATTTTCGCTGGCATTGTTGTTTGTTATGGCTGGCTTTTGTTGCAGTCAGGCTTGCAGCGCGAGCTGAACTATGAATGCAATTTCGTAAATTATTTTCCTTTTAAGTAATTATTAAGGTGTGGTCCGGTTCGTTTGCTACGCTTCTCCCAGCCGTTGTCGTAGTCAGTCGTTGTCTTCTTCTTCTTATTCTGCGACGTCAGTCAGTTTAACAGTTTGCCAAACACAAAAGCACGCGGTTTGCCATTGCTTCTGTCGTTCTCGTTGTTGTTGGTATTACTGCTGCTGTTGTTGTTGTTGTTGTTGTTGTTATTGTTAATACTTATTGTTTTGTTGACTATTTTTGTTACCGACCATTGTATATTTCGAGTTATTCACCCATTATATGCCATTTAACTAATAACAGGGACAGAACGATATCCATGACTCCCATGCGTTATTTTCTATTTGCCATCAGTCATCTGCTCGTCACTCAGTCACTCAGTCAGTCACTCAGTCAGTCAGTCAGTTGGTTAGTTAGTTAGTAAGTTTAGTCGTTTATTAAGTCATTTGAGTCATTCGTTTGCTGCGCGCGCGCACCTTTCGCACATCCTTTCCATCAAAGTCATAATAAATTTTGTATTTGTGGATGCTTCCCACAGCGGCAGTACTCAAGCCGTAATGGTTTTTAATGCCACAATACCGTTAATTAGTCGCAATTGTGACAAACTGCGGCAGCTAAAAATGTGGAAATATGAACGTAACTGTTATGAGGCGATGCTTGGGGGCGTGATTGGTGCTGATCGACTGTTTAATATTTGTAAATTGGCAGTTGGCTACTTGTTTTTGGGCTCGCACAAATGATAGGTTTCCTTTAAGCCGAGGTAGTGTTTCAGCCACAGCATCCAGCCAAGCCATCGAAACAACTGGCACACGACAGCAACACCTTCATAACAAATTGATCGGCATTAACTGAGCTGATTTCTAACAACAACAAACGGCAATCGCCACCTCGGGGCCGTCAACATGAATGGCAAATTACAAACAGTTAAGTAGCTAACGTAGCAACAACAGCAACAATCAAAGCGTACACAATTTGCTGTAATACAACAACAATTACATTAAAACGCGACCATAAACGTGCCAGCCGAGAACAACAGCAACAACAGCAGCAACAACAACAACAACAGCAACAATAACAACAGCAGAAGCAACAACAACAACAAAAATAACATCAACTGCATCAACTACAGCTCAACTTGTAGTTGGACTCGGCTTAGCCAAAATGAAGCCGCAAAGTTTTGACGATGTTGCAGCACCAACAGCGGAGGCAGCAGAAGCGGCAGGCGCTACCAAAGTCATTCCACACCTTGTAAAATCCACAAAAAGGCAGCCAAGAAGCAGCCGCTTACACACACACACACACACACACTCACACACACACACTCAGTTGTGCACACTAACACAACCAAATAGAGGCAGAGATGCAGGCGTGCAATTTGCGGCCGCAGCCTAGAAAAATAATTGCATGTGGATGCAGGGAAGGGAACAGTGCTCAATGGCTAAAAAGGGGCATGGGAGATGGGGGCATGCGGCAGGTGGGGGTATGGTGGAATGGGTCTAAGCCGCGTCATTCATGACGACGACGCGGCATTTGCTGCAAGTGCAAGTGCAGCTGTAACATTAACATGCAACCGACGGCGACGGCGGCGCTGCTGAGATGCAGATGCATTCAACGTCATTGCTGTTGGTGGTGTTGTTGTTGTTGTTGTTAGTAGTTACTGCCAGGTAGTAGGCAGCAGGCAGCAGGTGAATTGCACGATTTTCAATGCAAAAGTCAAGAGCGCCAACGGAAAAAAGTCGTTAGCCAAGTTTTCTGCATAGCCCAGTCAGTTGTAACTATTTTGTTTTTGTTGATGTTGCTTTTATGGCTAGAACTGTAGCAGCAGCAGCAGCAGGCGCATGTGGCAAACTCAAAACTTGCCAGCATTAAATTTGCTGCAAGTTTGACCAGCCAAACAGCCGGCTGCATTTTGGAGAGTACAGCGCGAGGAGTGTTTGGTAGCAGCTTCCTTTTGGCAGCTGCTTGACGTTCTCATACAGGCTGCACTTGTAGCTCGCAGCGATCTAGCTCCTAGCTCCCTTATCCTCAACATCTAAGGCATAGATCTGCATGCCATGGCTGAGACAGCTGTTTCCGTTTGTAAAATGTTTGGTAGCCCAATGATTGGCAAGCGATTACCAAGCGGCCGAGACATTGATGTTTCGGCCCGTACATTTTGCCTGGCATTTAGTGTCTGGCATTTGGGCTTGTTTGCTAATTACATTACATTTACTTACAGCAGTCGTCGTCGTGTGTGGCCAGCGCCAGCGCCAGCGGTTAGGCCATGCATTTGCTAGCCAGCATTTAAGCCATGTGAGCAGTTTGCATTTAGTATTCCGCTTTGTAGCCAGTTTTATTTGCAGCCCTCTGTTTTTTGGTTTTTTATATTTGTTTTTTAATGTATTTAATGTTCACACAGTGTCACGTTGTTGTTTCAGTTTGTTTATCATGCATTGCACTTATTTACAGTTAACACATTTTGCTGTCGCTGCATTTTATCTTTTGTCCCAAATGGTAAACACTTTGGGAGTTATCTATTTCGTATGGCGAAAACAGCTGCAGTGCATTCGACAAAACGAAATTCGATCAGTATTACTATTGACACATTTGTTTCGTTTTAAATTTCAATTAAATAATAATCACACTAATAGTTGCTGCTTTGCATGCGCACTTAAATTCGAATGAAATGAAATTATGATTTTTCGGCTGTGTGTAACTTTAAATAAAAGCAATTCCAAGAAATATAAACCAATCAATTACATGACAAATTATAAATCATCATCAGCAATGTTGAGTCATGATTTTATATGTGGTTTTTGTGTTTTAATTTTGCTGTGATTGAAGCTCCATAATAAATTAAGAAGTAATCTGGAGAAAAAGTTTCCCATAGACAATTCTACAGGAAAATTCTTAACTCTATTTGTATTTTGATTATATGAATGCAATTGTTTGTGCCTCTAAATCAAAATAAACTATTGAGAAATAATTAAATTTATGACATAGTGTAAATATAAGTATAGAATTCGTTTGCGCTCGCTGTTATCAGCGTAGCTTTTGTGGAAATATTATACGTTTGTACTTGCGGCTAATATATATATATATATATATATATATATATATATACATATAATAAAAATTTAATTGCGATAATTTGAACTATGCGCGTCAATTTGCACAATAGTGCGGACTGTAAGCGATCGTTATAGTTGCAGCTGCACAAATTTCGTAAATAAAATACTCAATTTATTACATAAAAACAGCTATGTAAACAAGATTAGTACATTAAAAAAAAATAAAATTTCGTTCGTTGCGAAAATTTTTGCAACAAAATAAAATCAATTTTTTGCGCCAGATAAGAATGAGCAAAATATTTCCGCTTTGGGCGTTTTCTTTTCTTTTTTCTTTTTGAGTGCTGCTCGCAATACATAAACCTATATATATCAAATTTGGATGTACATATATGCAAGTATATATATATTTTCATATTTTCTTTGCGCGATTATCAGACAGCAACGCCTCAGAAATAAAATTTTTTTTTATTCAATAATTTGTTGCTTAATTTTTTTTGTCGAGATTTCACATGTAGCTGCCGTATCAGCGAGGCGAGCCAGAATGGCCTCCGCCTCGGCCTGTTGTGTTGTCAGACTTGTCGTTTTTTTTTCGCAATTTGGGTCAGAATCGGCTGCGTCAGGCCACCTGATAAGAAACGTGCACACTTCACACACACACACACTTGTAAGTGTATCTGATGCATTTGGTGTGAGTGTTGAGCATTCGCAGATTGCGCACATTGTGAATTAAAACTATCTTTTGCTCAGCTACTGCATTTCGCATTTCGCATTTCGCGTTGTTCACTTTTAGATAACTGGCTTAAGCTGGCAATTTGACGATGCTTCCGCTCTGGCAAATTGATTATGCTGAGGTGTTGTGAATGAACTGGCGATATTTATCATACAGTTGTTATACCATATAAGTAGTTCTGTCTGGCATTTATAGCTGTATCTGTGTGTGTGTATCTGTATCTGTATCTGTCTCTGTATGTGTCTCTGTATGTGTATAGCTGGGCGAATGCACTTTTGCAGTTGCTTCAACTCGTGTCCTTAAGCCCGCGTATCTTTTTGTGTGCAGTTCACGCTGATCATCGCTTTATGTGCATAAAGTAAGAGTAACGCATGTGTGTGTATCTGATATGCAGTCTCATTGTGTATCTTTGTTTACACATTTCGCTTCTTTTTTTTCGCTTTCATTGTGTTGACATATTTCATTTATGTATATATATATATATATATATATATATATATATATTCTTTTTTTTTGCATTGAAGGACAATGTCGTTGAGGCATTGCTGAAATTCGTATAATTTATTGATAAGCGATCGTAGAACCCAGTCAGAAAGTGACTGAAGTGAAAGGAGTTGCGCAAGGTTATTGATAATTCAATTAAAACATTCTTATTACAAACAAAGTGAAGGGTGAAAGTAAACAAAGAATTACGTATTTCATTAACCTGCAAATGCAATAACCTATCAAAATCTCAAAAGGCGCAAAAAATTGTACTAAAATTTGAGGCTTAGCTATAAATCACATTGTAAATAAATTCATAAATAAATTGTAAGTATGTTTTAGCCAAGAGATACGTACATAATTCATAGCTGCTGATGTGCATAGCATCACATATATTTTTCTTAAATTATTTTTGCCCAATAGCCAAATTGATGTGGATGCTGTCGATGCTGTCGCTGCTGCTCACGCTGACTGCGCAGTCGATGTGAAAAACGCAACAAAAAAAAATTTACAGCCGCACTGGACGTGGCACGGTACTCAGCGTTGGGTTGTCGGAGTTGTTGGGGCGCTCTGCAGTAATTGTGCCTCGACGGCTGTTGCTGCTGCTGCTGCTGCTGCTGTTGATGATGATGCTGTTGTTGTAGTTGTTGTTGCAGCGCATACAATACATTTATATAGTGTATATATGAGCATATAATTTTTTATATGTTGTGCCTATATACATTATAAATTCTTTTTTTTTCGGTGCGCGCACAAAAGGCCAAATGCAGGCAATTATTAATGTTATTGTTGTTGTTGTTGCTGGAGATTTTTTGATGCTATGTATTTTTTGGACTGCTGGTTGGTTGGTATTTTGCCTTCTTTTTATTCTTTTTTTTATTTTTATTATGTGGCGCACAAAGTAAATAATATTCACCGTAAAAATGAAACGGTTTCCGATTTTCTTTTTGTTGTTGTTGTTGTTGTTGCTGTTATTATTTTTGCATTTGTATTTCTCTTTATGTTCAATTTACAGACAGCGGCAATTGTGTGATATTTTTTGTAGTTATTGGAATTTTGACAGTTGCCCGTTTGTAATTGTTGTTGTTTGTTATTATAATTATATATTTTTGTTGTTGTTGTTGTTGTATTTGGTGATATGTTTCAACATAATATTTTACATTTATGCAGCATTTAAAATAATTCAAAAGTAATTGTTACTTTTTTAATTATTCTCGCTAGTTTTTGTTGTTGTTGTTGTTGTTAGTTTAACGTTTATTTTAATGGATTGCACTTTTACTTATTTTATTTCGTTTTTGCATATGTTTTGTATTTAACTCAACATAAATTTAATAACAAAAATGTTTTTGTTGTTGCTGTTGTATTTGTGGTTGTTGTTGTTGTTGTTGCTGCTGTTTATTTTCTAGAATGGCAAGCAGAATGGCTAAGCAACGGCTTTTGGGATACGTGTGAAAAGTGATGAAAATCGCGATCATAATCACTGCAATCTGTATCTTTCCGATGCATTTAATCAATATTCTAAAAAAATGCCAGTAAATTCGCACATTTTGCTTAATCTGTTTTATGTACTTCAGTTTAATAATTCGACTCGGTGCTCACGTTTTGCCACAGAAGAGAATTTTTTCAATGGACTGCTGATAAGATGGGGCTTGCAATTTTTTCATAATTTATCACAATTAATTACATTACTGTTGAAGGTACAATAAACAAAAAAATATATATTTAATAAGAAAAAAGAACGCAATAAACTGCAATTTTTTCGGGAGGCAAATTCAAGTTGGGGGCAGTGAAAAATTTGCACAAAAATATTCACCAGCAAAGTTTCAGCTGGGCGGAAGAGGAAAAAAGGTAACAAAAACAACAAAAAAACAACTGAAAAACCATTGTAAATAGTAATTTAAGTTTTGGGCAAAAAGGATATGCCAAAAAAAATGGAAGAAACTAAAAAAGAAAAATATCACGTAAAAATAAAGTAAATGCCAACGAACGGAAGGTAAGCCAAGGAAATGCGAAAATCAAGTGCTGCGCTGCTTTCAGTTTTGGCCAGCTGCTCGACTGCAGCATCTCATCTATGCGGGGCGCACATGGGTTAAGGTCTAGCATGGCATTTCAATTGCTGCGCAGCTGCAGCGCATGGCCAATTCGCTGCTAACCGGGCAGACCAGCCAGCAATTTTTTTCGGCTATTTAATTTGCCATTTTTTCTAGCATATATCTGTGAGTACGTTTTTTTCTTATTTTTTTTTGTTTTATTTATTTTTTTTTATTTTGGTTCTCGTTCATTATGCTGTTCTGTAAACCCCGACGGCAAAGTAAATGCCTGAGCACCCGGAGAGACCTCGCCATTGTCATGGTGTAGAGCTGCTTAGGTTTGGGGCGCTGCTGTTGCTGGAGCGACTGGTTAAGTTGGTAGCGTCTCGTCTGTCTCGTCTGTCACGTCTGTCTGGCTGACGAAAATTGAAACTGACAAAAATTTGTTACATTTTGCCTGCACATAAAGTTCGCCACCCGTTGGGCAGCCACCCAACCACGCTTTATTACGGCACTTGCTGTTACTTCTACTTAGTTTTTTTTGTTTTTTTTTTTTTTTTTGACTGCTTTGTTTGTTTTGTTTTAGTGCTGCTGCTGCTGCTGCTGCTGCTACTGAAGTTTGTTGCAGTTCATTTGTATGCTGAAGTACTTTTTTCTTCTTTGATAATTTCTATTTTTTTATTTGTAGTTATTTTTTTTTAATATTTTTTTTTTCGTTTAACAAATTTGGCACGACAAATGCATTTTTTGCGCTTTGTTTTCTTTGGAACGTAACAGAAGTGCAGTGAAAATGTAGCGACATCGAATATGAGATGCGGTGCGTGATGTATTTAATTGGCAATGAATTTATTTGTTATGGACATGAGTGTTTAATAAGTTTTGTTCATTTATAATTTGATTATGAGCATTTGAACATTTGTACGTCTTGAATTATTCTCTTATAATATTCACTGATTTCATTTTAATTTTTGTGTTATAATTTTTTATTATTTATTTTGATTTCTTTTGAAATTTAATACACAATTCTTTTGAACGGCATGTTCAGCACTTTTGTCAAATTTGCGTTAGCGATATTAATTATACAATTTTATTATAAAATAAAATTAATGCATTAGCGCACAAGCACGCACACATTGTGGCACCACTCACACTCACACACAGCGGCACACGCACACCACGGGGCAGTGCAACTATTCAACCAAAAGACCGAAATAAAAATGCATTCTATAAAATTTTTGCGAGTGCGCGAAAAAAAGTTTTCCGCGTTTTGCATGCCAGCGACAGCGGCGACTGCGACGGTGACTGCAATGACGACTGCGGCGGCAGCGACTGCAGCAGCCAGCGACCGCAGTTAAAACGCACACATAAACACACACACACACACATACGCTCTCAGAAACAAGCACACACACACACACACGCACACAGAAGCGGGCAGCGACTGCAGCTTCGCTATTGTTGTTGTTATTGTTATTGCTGTTGCTGTTGATGTTGCTGTTGTTGTCATTTGTCAGTCAAGAACAACCGAAATAAAAGCAACGTGCGGGCGACGACTCAGTGGAAAGCCAAGTGCGTACATTGCCCAAAGGGCAGACGCTGCGTATACGCAATGTGCCACAGCTGCCACTGTTGTTGATGTTGCCAAATGCTATCAAATGGACTATTATGCATGTGTGTGTGTGCGTGTGTGTATGCATAGGGTATCTAATGTAATATTATCTCACTGACACTGCACTTCACTCTACATATTTATTCATAGTTATTGCCTTTGTTTTTTCATTTTTTTAAAATTAATTTGAAATTATTTGACACTTTTTTCAATTTTTGGTGACAGTTTTCTGGTTGTGGTTTTTAGAACTTTTTGGGTTTGTCTGCGAGTGATTGGAATGATGGAAATGTGAAATGCGCTTAATGCTTTACGATTGATATACGCGATCGTCGGACGCTACACCTCGGAACGACTCGGGCCGCGTCCGAAAATGCGTTCCGTTGCATATCGGATGCGTTGTGTTTATGCGACTGCCGAAGCCGACTGCAAAATTATATCACAACAACACGAAGACAGCGCTGACGACGACGACAGCGACGTCAAAATTGCATACAAGCGCATTCATGCTTGCAAAAAAAAAACAGAAATAAAAAAATAAAAAACGCCACAACTAGAATGCTGAGAGAGAGAGAGAGAGAGAGAGAGAGAACTCAACAGCAGGCAAACAGCACAGCAGGAAGAGAGCGAGAGACAGAGAGAGACGGGGACACACAGAGAGAGAGAGAGAGAGACAGAGAGAGAGAGAGGGAGAGAGAGAAGAGAGAAAGAGCGCACGTTGAGTCATTGAGTGGGAAAGGCGCGCAAACGCGAGAACTTTAGGAGTAACAGCAAACGGGGTAAGCCCGCACACACACATACACACACACACACTCAAAGGCCACTGACATGATGAACATCAAGCCGACTCGACCAGAATGAGCGACCGAATGAGCGAGAGAGAGAACACAGAGCAAGAGCGAATGAGAGCGCCAAATGCAGTGTAATGCAATTCTCGACAACTCAACAACTGCATACTAAGCTGCGGCTGCGGCTGCGACTGCGACGCCAGCGCGCGTTGATAAAAAGCCAGCCGACTGCGCCGCACTGCGCTGCCAAAATAGCCGGTGCCGGAGTCAGTTGAGTAGTTGCCAGTAGTTGGCCAGTCCCAAGTAGAGTCCAACTCAGCGCTCAGCTGTCCCTGGCCTGACATTGTTGACAATTACTATAAGAAACGAGCTTACAATTAACACACACTCACACACACACACAGAGACAACTACTGCTGCGACTGAGGGCCTGGCAGCAAAAAAAAATAGAAAAAGAATCACTCAAATTTGTTGGCCATTCGCTCACAAATACTTTGCAAAAATAAAGTTAAACAATGCAAACACACACACACACAGATAGAGAGACTAGCACACACACACACACACACACACTCACACACATCATCTCAAATTTTAGTATTCACCACATTTTTTGTGTCGCTTTTTTATTTCGCACACGCACACAGCTGCCTAATAAGCAGCTACTCACACACTCACATACATGCATAGTTATATATGTATCTGTATATTCACAAACACTTGTAAAGAAAATGCATCGCAGCTGCTGCGCTGTCGCTTCGTTGTCATGGCAATTAGCTGGACTTTTTTTTCCTCTTTTTTTTTTTTGTCAAAGGGGGTGGGGGTGTCACTTGAGCTTTGGCTGGTTTTTTGTTTTAAATATTTGATAAATATGCGTATACTATTATTACGCTTAACTTTTACATTATTTATAGCAATAAATATTTTCCAAATGATTAAGTAGCTTAATCGTCGTAATATAATCAATAATTAAATTGTATAAAGAAATTCCCAATAGAGCTGACAACTATATTTAGGGAATTCCCAATAAATAATTCTTAAATGTTTCAAACTTGTCACTGAACTCTTTATTATATACAGAACACTAATCAACCTTTGTTAAGTCCCAAATATATATGTATATATATAAAATCATATATCATACTATATATATAAGTATGTATCGATGTATGTGTGTGTGTCAATTTGAGCAATAT